GCGGGAGCTCCTGGTGTTGGAGCTGCGGGATGCGGTCCCCCGGACTGATCATCTCCAGGTTGGTCTGGACTGTCGTCGGGCGGGTCAGGAGCAAGAGACCGAGGCGGGGGCTCGGGCACAAAGGCAGCTGTAAAAACAGCACCATCTTGCACTGGAAGAGCAGAGCCTGGTGTAGCGAGCACATGAGCACCATGCCAGACGAGAGGTCGAAACCCCTGCGGGCACCTTGCACAAACACGAGCGAAAAGCCCTGGTAAGTCGAGATAGCCTCCGCGGCCTGTTACCACAGAGATTCCCCTTAGAATGGGCCGCAGGTCGACAAAGCAAAAGGGGTCTCTAGCAGCAGTGTAGTGGTGGCCATGGAGCGATCTAGCCGCATAAAGTACACTGCATGTCACCCAACCTCTGTTAGAGAAATCACTGATTCGAGGCTGGGGTGGTCGCAGGATGAGTTCATCAGCTGGGATCCGCACGCGGAAAGCAAGGTCTTGGCGGACATACCGACGCCTGGCACTTGACACGTGCATGAGGAAGGACTTATCATCATTGACGACCCACGTGTCATCCAGGTTCCAGCCGGAATAAGCTCTGATGAAAGTCGGGTCTGCATGCCAGCCGTACGCTGATCGAAGCATATCCGGAAAAGAGGCAACCACTGAATGTCCTCTGCCGACAAAAGTGAATTGAATCAGGTCTCCATGCCTGACGTCGACTGCCGTGTCAGCCGGAATTGGCCACGGCATCGTTCCAACGAAGACTTCGAAGCGAGGATCATCTGGAAGCTCTGCTGCCTGGAGAAGGCCGGCCCGTGTAGCACGGCGTCCGATGTTGAGGGCGAAGATGCGCCCGTCGATAGCTGTGAGGTCAAAAGCTGCAATCACCCCGTCAGGGGCCCACTGTGGCAGTGCCAGCAGGACCGCCTGCGCACCCAAAGGTTGTGGCTCGACTGCACACAAAATTGGAAAACGATCTCGATCCTGGCAAGCTCTGGCCTGCGACACGTAAAGCAGCGCCACAGCGGCTTGAGTGTTAAGGGGGATCCTGACCTCTAGCAATTCAGTGGTGTAATCTTGACTCAAAATCAGAAAAACCCCCGGCAGCATAGGGCAAGTGTTGGTGCCACTGTCTGGATGTGGGAGGCCGTCATCTCTTCCCTCCTGTCCACGCGGCGGGTCGTCGCCCCTTCCCGGGTGGGCTGAGCCGTCTGTGCGAGCAAGAGGATGCTCTGTGTTGGATGGAGCAGGAGTGTTACCATAGGCCGTCGTGTCAGTAGCCTCGGGATCACCTTCGAGGGCATCGGAAGGCGCAGGTTCAGGCACGTAGTCCACAACAACGACTGATCCGGAGGTGAAAGTGGGGCGGCCATCAGGCACATGCTCATTACTGAAACGGGGTACCCAGCCTCTGGGAGCATCGGCCTGAAAGATGCGGTGGAGGCTAAGTACATCAGGCACGGGGTCCCTCAGGTGCATGAAGGCGAAACCCTCCTGAATGGGCCTCTGATCCAGAAAGAAGCCTGGAATGGTACCGTCTGCGTCCGAGCATGACTTCTCGCAGACAGCAATGAGGGCTTGGCATCGTACGCCCTCCAGGGCAATGTTAGCCGGTGCCGGAGAGGCTATTAGGACATTAAGCTGCCTATCGTCAATGCCGAATCTACGCGCCATTTTGACACCGAAACTTGTGGGATTCCGGTGATCCTCCAGGCAGAGGACATGCCTACCTTCATGCACAACACAAGAAGCCTGTTCGAGGTCTAGCTGTGGGAAAGGCAGAGCGTGACTCCAGGCATCAGGCAACATCAGGGTTCAGGCAAAGGGCAGCCCGAAGGCTGGATGCTGATCAGCAAAGGCGATAGCAATCTGCATGCCTGGGAACATGTGGATCTGTGCCCCCTCATTGAGGGGCTGATCATCGTCGCCAGCATAGACATCGTAAGCTGCCTGAGGTGGCAGGTCTGCTAAGGCGATCAGAGTGCTATAATCAGCATACTCGAGTGCATAGCAAGCAAAAATGCGGCCGTCGATTGCTGATGTGTTGACCAGAACAGTCAACGCCAGAGGTGCCCATCTCGGTGTCGCGAGCAGGACAGCGTGGCCAACCACAGACTGCGGAGATGCAGGGGTCAGGAAGGGGAAACGTAGATGGCAAGGAGTGGAGCGGGAGGCTTGAACAGCTTGAATGGCTTCTTCTGGGGTACAGGGCAGTTCCAACTCCACTTCCCCAGTCTCCGGTGGATAGTCTGGCGTCATCACAGCATAAGAAATGCGGGTGAGTTGAACTCCAGCTTCCTGAGCGGATGCATCCGTCTCCTGGTCGAGGAAGGTGGCTGGGTTGGCAGGGATGAGAGGCCACGCCAGCCCAAGGTTCCTGGTTGCAGTTCGCAAAGCTGACAGGGCTGACTGCACTGTGGGGCCTGCACAACAGGGTTCACACAGGAGCTTGAGTGTTGCTAGTAGAGGCGAGCTAGCTGCAAAAGCTTGCCAAAGCCCGAGCGACAAGAGGCCGACACCATAAAGGATTGATGGGTCAGGGGGTATGCGTCCATCTGTGGCTGAAGGAGCAGATGCCGCTACAGGCGCTGCCGAAAGCGCAAGCAGAAGGAGGCTATATGGGCACAGGGCATGCGCGGCGTTCAGCAGAACGAGGCTGGCGAACCGGTTGTTGTGATCAGGGCGTGGTCCTATAGGCTCAGGTGTAGGAGGCCCGGCTGGCCGGGCGCTCGAGCTCCCATCCGAGCTCGCGTCTGTATCTTCATCCTGAGTCCTTGGGGAGAAGTCCTCAGAATCTGTGCCTCCAGACTGCGTCTCTCGGTGACGGGCCTCTTCAGGCATCCCAGGTGGAATGGGGGCGCATGCCACGGTAATGCGGGAACCGTCGACAACATGTAAAACCACCCCTGGTCTAGAGGAGATGCGTGGTGCTCCCTCTGCGATGAGCTGGAAACCCTCGGGGCAGGGGTAATCGAGGTCCTCAGCGAAATGCTGTAGAGAGAAGGTACCTCTGTGTGCCAGCCTCCAAGTGACACCTAGCTGCAGGGGCCGCAAGTCAACAATAATAACACTGGCTCTGGGCTCGGCAACAGTGGAGTGAGGTAAGCACTGAGTGGCGACCAGAGCGGCCGATGCGGCTACTCCCCTGATACATAGACCCCGCATCTGAGGAGACGGCGGGACGGTGACAAGTCGCTCTCTGTCGTAGCCGAGACTATCAGCAAGAACCCCCCGAGGGATGCGGCTTGCACCGGCGGGGATTGGGTGAAAACAAGGCCCCTCGTCTGTCAACAGCCATAGTCCTGGATCCGAGGCAAAAGGGACCTCAGCACGTGCGTTCCAGTCCTCTGGACGTCTCAGCATCTCGGCTAGTGGCGCAAAGCGGGGAGGCAGGATGCCCCGCGGGGCAATGGACACCAAAACTCCGAAATCCAGGTGCGCCGGCTGGCGTTCTTGCAAAGGGCCTCGAGAGGAGGGTACCCAGACGTCCGCATCGAGACGATGTGCGAAGCCCGCTATGGCAAGGAGCTCGGCTCGGCTGGCTTCCGCATCAGCATGGCCCGCGAAAACAAACCCGCCAACTGCCCTGCAGTCAAAGACAACGTCGCAGAAGGGGCCAGGGATGCCTGTGATTCCAAGCAGCACGGCAAAACTAGCACAAGGCTGAGGCTTGACATCGAGCAAACGCGGAAAGTATCGCCGTACATCCGGCAGGCGCATGGCTTGCACTTCACGCATGACCTGAAATTGGGCCACAGGCAACCAGAAGTTTAACGGTATCACCTCTGGGCGGTAATCTTCACAGAGCACCACAAAAAGACCTCGGAGCCTGGGGGCGGGCACTGGATCTTCAAGAAAATCAGGTGCTTCCACGAAGAAATCTGGCGGCTGCCCGCGTTCCGGTGAATGATCACCCAAGTCACGCATGTCTGGCGGTCGAGGGGGACCCTCGCCATTGTCAAGGTTGCGCAGTGAAATGTGCAGCGGGGGTGTGTCGCCGATCTTAGCCTCAAGGCGTGGAGGGCCATCAACCTTCGGGGCAGGGGGACAAGTGAGGACAGAGCTGGCAGCGATCAACTTGCGCCCAACTTGCATTGCAAGATTGAAAAAGCCAGATCCATCGAAGACGCATACCTCGAGGAGCGCGGGTGTGATCGGCGCTAGCATGCAACATGAAGCCTGGCTCTGCTTCCGGTGGGACTCGTTGGTGTCGGCCGGCGCGGGCAGGTGGCTTTGGTAAGAACTATCTCCACTGGCTTTCGAAAGGGAGACGTCCCGGTGGCGTGAACGGGATCTGGTGGAGTCGTCTGACCCGTGTCCCCCATCGGATGAGTCAGGAGGGTCATCAGACCCATCGGGTTCGGATTCGCCTGCCTCAGGCTCGCCTTGCTCGACGGGAAGGAAGGCTAGTGTCAGCACCTCGCCACTATGAAAATCAAACCCGTTTCCCCTTAACTGTCCCCCCATGACAGCCAACCTGTGCCCCGGTGGGGTGGGGCACCTCACATAGCCTTGCAGGAATTCGCGCGACACATGATAGTGATCCAGCACGCAGAAGTTCACATCTTGTCCGACCGGACGGCTGTCTACGAACAGTACTGCCGGGAGGGGGCGGTTTTGCTGGTCTCGGTCAGTGCTACGCCTTAGAACCGCAATGATGCCCCGCACTGGGGTCCCGTGGTAAACGTAGGAAGTGAGGTCGAAAGCGGACACCAACCTTGATTCCGACATCTCAACTCCTACGAAGTGCGTGACACGCAAACAATTTTGCCAGTCACACTGAACGAGGTCGCTGTAGAGATATTTACCGGACTCATGTAGAATGAGTACGCACAGGGCTCGGGCAGTTGCAGGGACTGGATCAATGCTCAGCCACGGCGTGGGCTGTTGTAGGGAGCGCATAAGAGAAGGCCCCCAAAGTGGTAAATGCTGTGCAGGTGCGAGGCACAGAGTGTCGCCTTCTTCAAGATGCACCTCTTGCCCTGGCTGGAGGGGCTGCAGACTACCTGCAACAAAAACCTCGAAAGGTGAAATCACCGAGGGTCCTACAATTCTGCAGATTGCATCAAGGCTTGTGTGGTTGGGCAGTATCTCCGCGAAAACCTTGCCTGTCATTGACCGAGCATCAAAGAGGACCGTTGCCAGGCCTGCATGCTTGAACCAATGGGGGGCGACAAGCAGGGTTGCAGCTCCGTCGCTCAGTTGTGGCATTGCTGGGATGAGCTTATTCCAACAATCATCAAGAGGTGATGGTGCAGCCTCGTAGACACGGTCAATGAAATGTTCTAGGCTGGCTGGGAGAGTCAAAATGATCTCCGTAGTGATCAGCCTATGGCAGGGGGCGCACAGGGTAACACGCGCAGGGACAGTGATACCCGGGGATAGAAGGCAGAGGCCCGGTTGGGCTTGCAGGCAACTCGAAGAGCCTTGCGTGGCAATGTCAGCCTCGACTGCTGCGCGGTAGTCCTTGGCAGGTACATCCCTAGAGGACCCAGCTGAAGTGTGGTCGTGCGCCGGCAAGTCGTCAGGGCATAGTGCATTACGCGATGAATCTGGATGACTTGCATCGCGATCACCTGGGGAAGCACTAGGGGCCGGGTCTAAACCTGAATGGATGGGATCGGGTGTCAACACGGCATGGGCTTCCGTGAGCGCTGAAGCGACGTCCTGAGGCACGGCCCAGATGGGTGCAGGCAAGGAACCTAACAGAGCAAACAACCTAAACCAAAAGGGGACCGGTCGCCGACTGAGAGGAGCACGGCGAGCCCGTGGTTTGGCTGGGCCCGCACATTCTGGTCGGCAAGCGTAGCCCCAAGGCAGGACCAGAGCTGTAGGCACCTTCGCACATGGCAAGTGTAACAAGACTTTCAGGGGTGAACGACCCCCGGGCATGGCACTGAGGAGTAAGCGCCAAAGCACAAGCAGGTGTAAAGCTGCAGTTGTAACCTCAGAAAGGCGGCAGCAAGACTACCACCCTGCACAACCCAAGTTAAGATGAGACCCCACATCAAGGAAGGGAAATCGTTTGCAGGAGGAGACCCCAGAGCCACCGATGTCTCTCTTTGGCCCCTGCAGGGTTGAAATGACGTCGCAGAATGACGGGGGGGAACATTGCCGAGCTCGCTGCGAACATCGCAGGGTGAGTACAGAGTGCGCCGATCCTCGATCTGCACTGGTGCCTGGGCACTGGCGAGGCTAGACCCGAGAAGGGGAAGAGGGAAAGGGGGCCAAGGAAACCCCGAAGGAGCACCGGGTCCCGCAACCTCCCTCTGTGTGGAAGAAGAAATGGTGGAACCAAAAGGGTTCAACACAATGTGCGGGGGAAAGGGGAGCAGGCAAGGAGGAGGTCCCAGAGCCACCGATACCTCTCTTAGGCCCCTAGCCGAAACAACCCCTATCGACTCCGAAAAATCCCCTGGCGGGCGTGGCGCCTGGAGGCGGGAAAATGAGGGAGATGCCAGGAATGATGAGCCATTTTGGCACAGATCACTGTGCGAGAAAGTCAAGGCTTGATGTGGTGCCGGGCAATCAGCAGCAAAAACCAGAAGCTGCAAGGCCTGAGCCCAAGAAAGCAGGAGCCTGAAGGCAGAGAGGGAAAAACCAGGGCACGAAGATAGTGCCATGGGAGGTGCGGGCTGCAGCGTGCGAGGGAGGAGAAGTCCAAAAAGACCAAGAAATCCACGCTGAAGGGCCTCACCTACCTCAAGAAGGCGGACGCGAGGCTTTGGCCGGGGAAACAAAATCTGTGCAGAAAACTGTACAAGGAGCCCCTCAGACTGTACAGTTCGCTCATAACACACATCCGGTAGCTCCAACGACAGATAGTTAGGAGAGTCGAGGCTGCCATCGCAGGCGTCGCACCAGACGGGCGTACCCAAGCACCGTCCGGCACGAGCTCGGTCAGGGAAGCCTGACTCCCTAGCCTTCTGTCGGGGAGCTGCCCCTAGGCAGAGTGATTTGGGGACCGAACATCGGCCGTGTGAAGCTCGTCGTCTTCCTCTTCCTCGTCCCCATCGTCTTCCACAATTCGTATCTTCTTGCCCGAAGCCAAAGCTGATTGAGCGGCAGCGACAATGGCACTGGCATCGAACTCCGTCCTGGAAGCTTTCGCTCCCCCGAATGGCTCCAGTGCTCGACGCCTTGCAACTCGATCTTGAAGTGTTGGACTGGGGCCATAACCAGGGGGAAGTGCGGAGCCATCGGCGGGAACATGTGGCATACCGGTCGGATCTGGGCCACCAGGTACCGCCGTGCTGGGCTCTAGCGGAGCCTGAGAGACCGCCGGGCCGGCAGCCAAACCAGGAGGCGAGACGAAACCTGGAGGTGCTGCTGGAATGTGGAAATAGGGGTCCACTGCCGCCCGAGGCGCACTCATCTCGCAGTGGACACCACTCCCAGTCGGAGGGGTTCTCGGCGCAGAAGGAGTGGGCCTCACAGGTGTGAGGTCCGCAGCCATGGCCCGTTGAAGAACCCCCATTGTGGACTGTTCCTCTGCACGCGCCCACGAAGCGAAAACATTCTCCACTGCGGGCATCTCCACATCTCGTTCCTTGCCCTCTTCCATGGCACTGAGGGCCATGGCGCGAAGGGACGCTCTCGCGTCCATTTGCTCCTGCTCTGCTTCGGCGATTTCTCGCAAGAGCCTTTCCGTGTCCTTGGCGAACCTTCCCCTTTCGCGCTGGTAACTCGCCATCATCTTCGCTTCCCATTGCTTGAATTTGGCGATGCATTCGGTGTGCTGGTTCCTCAAGCGAATCACCTTGGTTTCCGCCTTCCGGGTGTGGTTCAAGGCTGTCTGCACTGTAGGCACCAGTCTGGAGTCGGCATCGTCTGGAAGGGCGTGTGCCCCAGCCACTGCACCAGGCTGGGCACTGTCCACTGACACCTTCATGGACAAGTAGCCGGGAAACAAAGCCTGCTGCCGGCCGGTCGATGACTTCCACGGGGCTTGATGGCTCGGTGATTTGGCCCCTCGCCACAAGTGGTAGCCATAGCCACCACCACCATCGCCGTGCTGTGCCGAGCCGCGAGGTTGAGGATTCGCTCTTCCGCGACCCATGCCTTGTAGTCGCCGTCTTTGAAGAGGGTGGGTCGCGTGATGCGACACAAGTCGTTCCCTCTGGCGCCACGAGGGAAAAAGGCCGCTGCGTATGACCTGACGTGCAGAAGCCCGACGAGCGCGGGCCCTACGGTGCCAGGTTGGCGAGCCCCTGTGCAGCGCGATGGCGGCAGGAGGGCAAAAACGCACTGTCGTGCTTGAGGCCTCGACTATCCTCGCTGCTGAGGTCTTTCGGGCCCTCTCTATTCTTACTATTCGTATTACTATATTACTATTAGTATTCCTATATTACTATTCGTATTACTATATTAGTCTTCGTATTACTATGTTACTATTAGTATTGCGACTAGTATTAATATGAGTATTGGTATTCATATCAGCAGCCAGCAACCAAAGGCACGGAGCCAAGAACCAAAGCCGGGGTCTTGTAGAGAAATTCAACTTAAGCCGCCATGATTTAGGGATCTGTAGGTTTCCTTAGTCTGGTAACTTGTGTAGGTTTTCCTTATTCTGGCAACTTACATGTCAACTTAAGCTAGCATAATCGGGATCTTTAGAATTTTAGGTTTGGGGCTAGGGGACGACAGTACATAGTATGGGTTCAGAGCTTAAAGTACTTTCATGAACAGGAATTCAGAACAAAAGGTGCCGGGTTTAGGGACGATGGCCCTCCAGCATTGGCGAAAGGAAGCTCAGCCACTCAGGCCCCGAAGCCTTTCCCTGGAACTCCAAGACCTTGAAGTCCCAGCGAATGGGTCCAAGGCACAAATAACATCCAGCATTGTACTGAGAACTGTTATAGAGCGTGTTGTCGAATCCTCCCCATACATCGGATCCCGTCGCGTTTCGCTGTTGCCGCTGGCCTGGGCGAGGACGAGTCGGATTCGTCGCATGGCCAGGGCATGGCTGATGAAGATCGTAAGGTTTAGGAGGCCTTCGGGTTGAGGGTTCCGCAGTTCGAAACAGCACTCTGATGGCGAGCCGAGCTCCTAGTCATTCTCACTTTCCAGAATGGCGGCACTGACGGTCACGCCCATGACATATGATAACATTGCGAATCATGGGCGCCAATAGCCTTGGAACCTCTCACGGCAATTACTGCACCGCGGTCTTCGATATGTGGGCACATTTGCGGATATGCGGTATCATTACAGCACAGATGCTGCTCTTGGCAGGAATTACGCTACTTGCTGCTGTTACTTGGACCTGTGTGTGTGTGTGTGCGCGATGAGCGCCTTGTTCTGAATTTCTCTACTTC